ACTTGTCATTATCCTCCCTTGTATTTATCCATATGTTGTAGTTATCCTAATCATTATAGGATTAGGATAATCATCCCCTTTATTGTTGTAATCCTTATCTCCTAAGGAATATGCTTATTCTCTTGTATGTATATATATGTATGTGCACGTGATGAATAAGATATACAGAGTTACAACCTTTTTCTTTATTCTTTAACAGAGAAGATGAAGTAAAAATCTCGAGTGATAATTTGCAGATCAGTCCTTATATAAAAGAGTAATCAGGTTTGAGTTTTGGTTAGCTTTTTCGGGTTATAAAAGTATATCCAATCTAACCGAATTTTATTTCGCTTGGTTTACTTTTCTCAGGGTTTGGAAAAATAGGCTTTATTCGGTTTAACCATTTTCGTTCCACTAAAATTCGGGTTCAAAATGAATTTGGATTAAAATTATATAATTATATTATTTCTAAATGTATTTGTTGAGGAACAAAATTATTTTTATTTAATATTGCTAATTATATAATGTATTTATTTACTTAGGTTTATAGAAAATTGAGGTTTGGTTTAGCTTTAGTTCAATTTCTTAATGTAAACAGATTCTTCGATTCGAGTTACTTAAGGTTCAGACTGACGATTCGCTTTTCGTTTTCTCTAATCCTTAGCAACTTGGCTTAGGTTTGGTTCAAATTATTTGATAACTGATGTAAAAATTGTACCATACTTTTGGAAAGAAAAGAAATCGGTTCTGACTGTCTTCAAAAAAAAAAAAAAAGGAAATCGGTTCTGATTTGATGAATTTTTGTTAATTTTGTTTGGTTTTGGTTCGTTACCTATTAAAAACCTAAACTCTATGGCATCTTAAAGTAAACATCTTGACATTTAGTGGATTTATTTTTTTAATTCAGACAAAAAAAAGAGAAAATAATAAAATTTTAAAAATTGTTGTTAAGGATTTGTTATTAAAGATTTTAGGTTGTGGATGCTTTTACCAACTTGGCTTAGGTTTGGTTCAAATTTTTCGATAACTGATGATAAAGAATTGTACCATACTATTTGAAAGAAAAAATAATAGGTTCTGGTTTGATGAATTTCTGTTAATTTTGTTTGGTTTTGGTTCGTTACCTATTAAAAACCTAAACTCTAGAACTAAATGGTATCTTAAACTAAACACCCTGACGTTTTAGTGGATTTGTTAAAGCACATCTCGTCGTTCTACTACACGTAGCCTAAACGCTGCCGTTTAAAGGCGAACATTAGAGGGAACCAGCTCGAAGGCCAGAGCTGCCGCCACGAACAAAAATTAATTCAGTGATGAACATCGTTGCCTTGAGCAAACGTCTATACTCGTCTAGATTCCACGATCTTCGTTCTCTCAACGATGCGCTCTCAAAAACTGTTTTCACCTCCGGTCCTCCGATCCTCGGACGATCCTTTCACAACCTCCGCAAGGCTGGGAGCTTCTTCGTTGTCCCACGTGTCTTGTTCGTGTCGCGAAACCTGTCGACGAATGTTTCTTCTTCGAAACAACCTGCGTTTCTACGATGGTATTTGAGAAAGCTGGAGTCGCATCCTTTCGTGACTAAGAGCGTCACCACTTCCCTCATTTATATGGCTGCCGATCTCACTTCTCAGGTGAGAGAAATTTAACGCGAATTTAGGTTTAATGTATTTTGTGGTGTGAGATTAGTGTTTTAATGATTGGTGTATTAATTGTGAATTTTAGGTTAAAAGTATCTTTCTTTGCTCCAATTTCTCATTTGTTTCATGTCTAGACAATAGGTTTTCAAATTTAAAGAAGTCTGAAACTAGATGAATCTCTAATTAGTGGAACAAGTGTTGCTACGCTACAGTATAAAGTATAGCTGCTTAACTGCACTATCTATGTTTGGTGAAAGACCCTTTATATATAAATCGCAGGCCCGTGTGTGCCGCACGCGTAGCGACTAGCGAGTTTCCGAACAATGTATATAACTAGTTGCAGAAACTAAGGCCTCTGAGTTTCTGCAAGATACTATATCATTATTTTAGTATTTGATAACCATATTTGTTTTCCTTTTGAGTTATTAGCACTACAAAGGCTGGTGATTTAGCTTTTGGGTTTGCTTGGTGTGATTTTCCAGACTGTGTTCTTCTTTGTTATGTGAGACTCTACTTTCCAGTGTGATTTATCTGTTTGGTAGCTTGAAAAACTCACATTCCAATCTTTTAATCTTCTCGTGAATTCTTATGTTTAAATAGTAAAAGTTTTATGTGTGTAATGTGCTGGGTAATGTGTGACTTGTGGTGCTTATAAACTCTCTTTTTCTTCCCCTCATCTCTATGGATTTCTCTTTTTTCAATCACATTCCCCTGGTAATTTTTAGGACTAGAGATTTTTTTTTTAATTTTTTTTATGCTGATTCTGTAAATTCTTCAACAGATGATTACGATGCAGCCATCTGGTTCTTATGACCTGATAAGAACAGCCAGAATGGCTAGCTTTGGGTTGGTATTTCTCGGGCCATCACAGCATCTTTGGTTCAGTTATCTTTCTAGGATACTGCCAAACCGCGATGTGCTTACAACTTTTAAGAAAATAATGATGGGGCAGGCTCTTTTCGGACCTTTTAGCAACACGGTCTTCTATTCCTATAATGCTGCTTTACAAGGTACACATCATAATCTTATTGATTTAAATTATCTTTTAATTCTCATCATGAGCTTGGTTCTGGCATGTTGTGTCCATATTAAGGTGAAAACTCTGAGGAGATTCTGGCGAGATTGAAGCGAGATCTTCTGCCAACATTGAGAAATGGACTTATGTATTGGCCACTTTGTGATTTTGTGACATTCAAGTATGTGCCTGTTCATCTACAGGTAAACCAGATATCTATCGCTTACTCTTTTTTTCATTGTTTAGATGATTTGAGAATTTTCTCTGCTTCAACATGTAATCATTTGGTTGCAGCCACTGATGAATAGCTCATGCGCATACATATGGACGATATATTTGACTTATATGGCAAACCAGACCAAAGCTGAAAGCTGAACGGTGACAAGAATGACTGTTCTTGACCATGAACAATCTCATTCTCTTTATTTTATTTTATTGAACTATATGAACCAATCATCAGATATTAGTACAAGTATAATTGGCTTTTCTTTTTGGATGTCTAAAATGGCCAAATGTTTTTCTTCTTGACCAAGCAAATATAAAATATTCATCATGTTTTATGGTGAAGACTTGTGACACTCCTCCCAAAGTCAGGGGTCGGGGCATATCCGACTGAAACATTGGTTTGGTCTCCACAATTTTTCCAAAAAAAAAAATTATATGAATAAGTATACAAATTACAAAAAAAAAAAAATTGTAAGATTTTTTTAAAGAATGTTTAGAGCCCTCGAAATCTCAAATCTGGTTCTATCCAGACTCGCCCAAACCATAGGAAAATGAAGCAATTGCCTAAGGCCCAAAAATATTTAAGGTCTTTTTAGGTTTAAACTAAAAAAAAAAAACTTGAAAATTTGCGTATCTAATCCAGGACAAGGGAGATTATGGACTCTCTCCCTCTAAAAGGGTTCCAGAATTTCCATTTATTTTTTTTAAAAAAAAATATAAAGATTTAACGATGAGGTATAGTGATAATAACGCACACACCCTCCCTCTAAAAAGGTTCCGGAATTCCCATTTATTTTTTTTAAAAAAAACATAAAGATTTGACGATGAGGTATAGTGATAATAATGCACACACTTGGTGCAGACCAATTCCCAAAAACTCTCAAGTTCTGGCGATGGGTCTGTAGTCGGAGACAGCTCGTGGACCCGAGATCTTGGGGATAAGCCGGATATGTGTCTCATTATGCTGTGGGTGGAGAGCATCCGAGGTGAAGAACTGTCTAATATCCCTGCACACATCCTCAGAAACAATATGCCAATAAGCTTGATAAAACTTGGCGGAGAAGCCATCTGGGCCAGGGGCTTTCCCACCATTTATCGAGAAGACAGCTTGGTGTATCTCCGCGTCACTGGGAATGATGGTTAAGAAACCATTCATCTCCACACAACTCAACCACGGGTCTTGCCAAACCCTGATATTTTCTCCATTCCCCACTATCCATCGAGGCCTTTACGCAGTAGATCCCTTCCCACCAAGATACAGTGCCAGCCGTGAGACGCAACTGATGGAGAAGAACAGTCCAGGAAAGAGGAACTCCAAACTTACTTTCCAAGTAAAAGCCGAGCTACTAGGGACGACGGGTTACTGAGTAATCTCCATCCGATCTTAGCAGCGGTTGTAAGACATACTTTGATTTAGTGTACAAATTGATCCGATAGATTCATCACCCTTAGGGTGTCAAAGATGATGGACCATCTTAGTGTATAGAAGGCCTTTAATATATCCAACCTTAAACTCTGCGAGTTGTTATTGAAGGTTTGCGGTAATCTTTGACGAGCTATATATCTAGTAGTTAAACATTTTCTACGATAAGTTGACCCTTAATCAAAGACCATTGATCCGATTTTATCAACTTTCGTAGAAGCATTTGTTGGGGTCAAAATAAATTAACGGTTAAAATTCTCTGAGAAATTATGCTTTAAGCAAATACAAAATGAAAATGTCAAAGAAACTATACGATATAAACCAAACCAAATTTTCATAAGGATACAAGAACGAAATTTGTATATTTCATCTCGAACAACGGAAAACAAATTCCCATCCAAACATGAAATATCATAAAAACATTTTTGTGGAAAGTTTTTAGATAAATGACGAGTTTTGAAAAACAAACGTCTATCAAATAAATTGAGAAAATATCCACGGAAAATATCATAGTATAATCAATGAGATAGCTCCTGTAAAAGAATTTATGCCAGTAAGCGACCACATGGTCTCCACATCTCGTCGTCAGCAGGTGACATCATTGTCTCCGCACCTTGTCGCTAGCAGGCGACCACATGGTCTTCGCGCTTTGTCACATGTTGGTGACGATTTCCTTTTCGAGTTTCGTCGCCAGTAGGCGACAATTCTCTCCTCGAATCAGTTGCCAGCAGGTGACTCTTCTCCGAGTCTTGTCGCCAAATGGTTACGATTCCTTTTCCGAATCTCGTCACCAAATGGCGACGACTCTCTCTCTCTGAGTCTCATTTACAGCTGACGACAACTCCTTCTTCGAGTATCATTTACAGCTGACGACAATTTTCTCTCTGAATCTAGTTGTTAATTGTGTACCGACTTCCTCTCTGAATCCCGTCACCAGTTGATGACAACTCACTCTCCTCCTAGTCACCTTCCCTTTCGAGTTTTCACCAAACTAATCTTTGTTTCGTCTCGATCAGTGAGAGTACTTCAATTCATACTTAAGGTAACTTGTATAAGGTAACTTGAACAAAAAAAAAGGTAACTTGTATAAGGTTAACCACATAATTCATATTTCAGAACCGAATTTAGGCCATGTTTAGGTCTTTTTGCTTTCAAACATAAAACATCATTTTTTATGGTGGTCAGAAATTAAAACATCAGTTTTCTTAAATATATTTTTTTTGTCTTTTTGTCTTTATCAAGCTTTGAACACGAGATATTTGCTGAATAAAAAAAAACATTAGATATTTTTTTTTCCCTCATTTGTCCACAGAAAATGAAAATCAATAGCCATCAGTAGATTTCCACGTGGGAACAATTAAGACCTACCGACAGTTTAATATGTAATCGTCGTAATCAAATGCACTCGACAAAGGGCCCATATTGATTCTCCAGTACGTGGCGCAAATCTAATTGAGGTTTCTGACATCAGCATGCCGAAAGCATAAAGACGAAGTTATGGTTCAACAAGTTGGCCACCTCTCCTACTTTTGTTTTCAAACAAAAATTGGTAGTCTGAACACCTCTCCTACTTCTCTCTTGAATGTTTTTAAAATCCCCACCAATAAAAACAGCTGAAAAGATATTAAACTACTATTTTATTAAATTAGGTCTGAGCCGATATACATACCATGTTTTCTTTTGTAGAATATATATATATATATATATATATATATATATATATATATATATGTTTGTGTAATTTTATGGATCATTTTGAATGTGAAATCTGTTTTTCATATCACTTTTGAGTATGGTATTTCGTGAAATCAAGATATATAATTAATTCCTGATTTTTAATTATAATAAAAATATATTTTTATCATATTAAGTTTTGATTAAATTAAAATATCTTCACAGAATTAAGATTAACAATAATGTTTATTTAATATGATCAAAAGACAGTTTATAAAAACCACTTTAATCCAGGACTCTGATTAAAAATTCAATTATGTTTCAACAATAGAATATTTTGGAGTTCAAGTTTTAGAAAAGTGAATTATACATGTTACTGAAAAAAAAAATATTACTGAAAAGACTTATACATGAAATTATCAGCAGTAGAATTATCCGTGTAATGTTTTACATAGTTTAATTAAACAATATTACAAAAAACATAATAAAGGATGATAAATTGAATATATCTATTTAATAATTTTAACCGAAATGAGGATGAAAGGACCAAACAGTCTGCACAATTTTATTAAATATATGACGAGTAATACGATAATTATTTAATTACAATAAAACATAGAAACGGCTGATATGTGTATTTTTTTCGTTAAAAATGAGACCAATTGGAAAAGAACACAACACCACTCTCTTTTCGTCTATTTAATTGAAGCTACTGGTTGCAACGTCAGTTTTTGGGAGTTGGGTTTGTTGTTCAGTCTTTGTCTCTTCTCTTTTCGTTTCTCTTTCTCTCCTAGCTTCCTCAAATGGCCGGCCTGAGATGGAGAGAGTTGTTGAACACGATGTCGTTCCCCACAAGGCGAATCTGGAATCGTTTCACCGCTCGCGTCGGATTACGCCACAACGGTAAGCTCCGATCCTCCCTCCACCGCCCATTCTCCGGCGGCTTAGGACTCTCTTTGTCCCTGTTTGATTAAGCTAAATAGACTCTTTGATCTGTCAATAATTTCACAAACTACTTTCAAAAAGCTTGTTTTAAATTTGAATTAAAGGATTTGTTTCATTGATATCAGATTAAAATTCAGAATCTTGCAGCTAACTGAGTGATGGGTCTTTTTTGTCTTTGCAGGACTCTTGAGGTTACAAAACGATGTGAGTTCTTGCGAGTACGAAGACATACACAAGATGTGGAATCTGTTGCACAAGATCGAAGATCCGACACCAACACCGACACCGACACGTGACTCACGAATCAAACAAAGGAAGAAAGCTTGTTGGAATCTCTTCGGTTCATATCTTTGCCAAAGATTCTGATTATATATATACTAAAAAAATTCCAAACCATAGTTGTACCCTGTGAGAGCCTTGACGGGTCCCCTGCAAGTGTGGTGAGGGTTATTGACAAATTTCGCAAAATAATAAACTCCGAGGTTGCACAGTTTTTATAACTGTTATATTTCCATGGGATGCCTCTCTGTATGTTATCTATAAGTATTATCATCACATGAGTGTTGTATATATGATACAAATGATTCCTATAGCCTAATGTTACTACGTTCATCTGTGTGTTTTTCTGAATTTTGCCCATTTACATTAGAAGAGCAACTTTTGAATTCAGAATTGTATGGCTGATACAATTATTACTGGTCTGCTATCTGAAATGGAGAATTCACTTTGGCCGTCCTTAATAGCAGAAAATCTGGAAAACTCTACTTCTTGGTCAATGAATTCAATCTGAGTTAGAAAAAAAAGGTAGTTAAGTACAGTAAAGACTCATTAAATTAATAAGGTTGCGACTCTAGTATTTATTAATTTACAAAAGGTTTTTAATTTTTTTTTCTATTTTAAGATATATTTTTCAACAATAAGAAAATATTTGATTTAAATGTATTTACATTAATTATTTTTTTTTTATTTGGCATTTTTTTTTGTCGAAATCCATTTTAAAAGATAAAGTGGTGGTCGAATTTGAGACGTTGTGAAGAGCCGCTCGATCCGACCGGATTCGGTCTACATAGGAAAGGAGGACATCACTAATTCTCGCCTCCTTTGCTAGGTGGTCTGCGCGCAAATTCCTTACTCTGGGAATATGGGAGATGATGAAGCTCGAAAAACCGTCTCATACGAGCCGAATGAGGCTAGCTCTGAAGCAAAAGTTAGCCAGTCAATTAGGTTCTCAATCATGTCAACCAAATCGGCGCAATCTGTTTGTACATGTATCGTGGTTACTAACAACACACGTAGGCAAGACATCGCCCAGATGAGCTCTTCCGTCTCCACGTGAAGCGCCTAAATACTTTGTCGACATCCTTGAAGTCCAAAATGTTCGATCCCCATTTGATCTCTATAGATCCATCCGAGTCCACTAACCAAACCATGTTTGATCCATGAGACATCAATTTGGTAGATTGGGATCTGAGTGTCCATGGGTGAGAATGAACTGATATCTGAGAGAGGTGGTACATCCTCTTCCGCTTCTTTCTCGTCAAGATTTGCAACTCTCTAACAATCTACTTTTATAGTAGCTAACTGAAGAGTGTCAGTAGGTGAGACTTATTTCCCATTGAAAACTTTATCATTTCTTGCCTTTCAGATAAACCATAGGATCCATGGTAAAGTTTCAATAAGTAGTTTGAAATAGACCACGTCTTTTTTCCTAAGAAAATCCATGTTTAGATAAACAGACTTACTTGGAAACTAATCCGGATTGGACAGATACTCTGATAAAACCCATATCTGAAATGCAGGGGGGCACTCAAAAAGGAGATGGTTTATGGTCTCTTTTTGGCCACCGCATCTTAGACAGCTCATATCGGTTCCTAGATGTCAAAAAGCTATTTTTTGTAGTCACGATAAAACCTTTCAGGACTTGCCACATAGTTTCATCTTCCCTGGTGCCCTAACCTTCTAAACATAGCTTTGTAAACCCGTGGTGCTTGGTTGAGTAATCTGGTCAAGGTCACAACTAGGTTTATTTTTCCGTAGTAGATCATATCCGGATTTAACTGAGTAAACTCCAGATTTTGTAGCAGATCATATCCGGATTTAACTGAGTAAACTCTGGATATAACCGTCCATGTACCACGTATTGTCTTAAATTGATTATATAATGTATATCCTCCGGATGTACCACATATTCAACATTTATGCTAGTTTTATTATATTATTTAGAGTACATAAAATATGTTTCATAAAATTTAAACATAGTTGTATAATATCTCATCAAAATATATTAACTGTTAAGAAAATATAAAGATAAACTCAAATTGTGAATATAAAACAAAAAAATCTAATGGCTGGTTCGTACTTATATAAAATGAATATACATATAAATTATTAAATTTATCATTTTAATGGCTCATATATTTACATATGGTTTTCTAAAAATGTATATAAATAATTTTGCCTAAAATTTAAATATAGCTTAGATATAATTGTATAAAATCTCAACGATATATATAAACTGTTAAGAAAATATAAAGATACATTCAAATTGTTAATATAATGGTTGGTTCATACTTATATAAAATGTATATACATATAAATTATTAATTTATAATTCTAATGGGTTATATATTTACATAAGATTTTCTAAAAAAATATTATTTTAATATTTTATTTACGTTATATTTTGAACCGGTTTAACTTGAAATTAGAAAAAAATATTAATTTATGTTTTTATTAATTTATAAAGTTTGTATTGTATTACTCTGTTATTAAAAATTTGAAAAAAATGAAAAGAAAGCTAAAACCATGTATATTTGTAAACATCTCTTTCGGTAAATTTTGGCTAGGATTATTCATAAAAATAATTAAAGGGCAGAAAAGTGAAAAACATAGTCAAAGTAGAAAGTTCGATCAGAGTCAAGCAGTAAACTCAAATTCGGCTTCAACTGGTAACCAACCACACTACCGTGAATAGTAACAAAAATCTCTACATATACTTATGTATATATATATTTTGTTACTATTTATACTGCACTGCAGTTGTTTCGTAGTTGTCCCACACGTTATAATTCGGAAACTTCATCTAAAATGAACAACACAGCCACTCATGTGGTCAAATTTGAGTGGACTCGATAATAATTCAGAAAGTAATTAAATGATTTGAACAGAAACAAACAGGACTGGTTCAACAATTTTAAAGGTCCTAGAACAAAAAAGGTCTCCAAACTAATATTTATAAAAGAAAATTCTTATAACTATCTTTTCAAAATATTTTAAATAATTTCAAATTATGATAAGAATAAAAATGATTTCTTATGAAAATGTGGACTCCTTTTCTTATGTTCCAATATAAAATAACATGTATTTTAAAAAATACTTACTGTTTAAAATATAGAGAAACAAATGACTAGATCCGTAAAGGTCCTACTGTTTTTCTTTTCATCTAAGTCGATAATTCAAATATATAAATCCACTAACATAAATACAAATATTACCAAATGAAACACATTAAACAGAAATGTTAACGACTAATTTAACGTGCATGGTCGATATCAGAGCACCTAACCTGAAAATTTGATAAGACAACGCGAAACAGAAGCAGCTCTCAAGTATGGCAGCACCCACAAGTTGGAGGTCTGCTTCGCAGATGGTTCGAAGTTGCAACCTAATTTTTTTTTATTTTTGTTTTACATTTAGAGACACCTTCCTATATTTCAATTACACTCAAAGACAAGTAGTGCTTGAGACACAATTTCTCTTATTGAAAAGACTCTTGTAACCCTAGACTCGCTTCATTGTCCTATTATCTTTACAGTTTTCAATATATGAGATATTTTCTTCTCATCACATGAATCTCTCTCCTCTTTTTATTCCACTTTATTATTTTTCTTTTTCTTATTCCATATTATGTTTTCATTTACTTTGATCTCAAATTCTAAAATATATTAAACAAAAAATGTTATCATAATAAATTATATATAAAATTCTATATCTTTAAGATCCATTTTCACATATATATATATATATATATTAATGTATATACAAATTAAGTATAGACATGGACACCAAAGCGTGGATAGTAGAGTTATATACTAATTGTGAACATGGACATCTTAACATGGAGGTAGTTGGCTGATACCTTTAAAAACTCGTTCTTCACAATAGTCTTCGAGAAGGAGAAACCGACACAGCCATGTTTTCACCGTTACTTCCACTGCCAGCGACACTGCCGACACCACCACCACGACTAAATTTTAATTCTATCACTAAAGGTCTCATCTTTCGATCCGCTGTACACCAATCTGCTGTAGACTTCTCCCTTGACCCCATCCAATCCAACACAACTAGCTCTTGATCTTCGATAAAACATCTCTGATCGAGTTCCAGTGGATAAGACTAGGGATGTTAAAATGGGCTTGAAGCCCGCAGGTCTAACGGGTTTAGTATAAACGGGCGAACCCTTTACCCGTTTATGATGATAAAAAATAAATGGACTTATACGGGTCCGTCGGTTTAGGCCAGTCTCGTTAATGGGCATACCCATTAAATAAACGAGTACTCATTTAGGCCCGTTTAAGATTTAAAAATATATATATATATATTTAAAACAAATTTAAAAATTATATATTTTTTGTTTCTCGAACAAAATAGTTATATTATATATAGTTTTTTTGAGAAAATGATTTAGGTTATAATTGTGTTTAAAACCTACTAGAATTTTTAATATTTGTAGGATATTATGAACTAGCTAATATTTATCAGAAATAAAATAGATTTGTTTTTCAAATTATGCTTCAATTTTAATTTCTACTAGATTTTGGTCCGCCCGACCGTGCGAATTTTTTAAAAATATTTTAGTTTATACAATAAAAGTTATCAATATGTTAATATAATTTGATATTATATATTAGCTAATTTTATAATAATGTTTATGTGTCTTATAAATATTATTTAAATTTGTATTTTTGTAACAATTTTGTTTAACAAAACATTATTAAGTAACAATAATAATTGTTTTATTATTAAATTTGCATTATATGTGGAAACTGAATTAGAGTGGACCTACATAATATAAAAGTAAATTTTTAGGATACTGTTAAACTTATTTTACATAATTTTTTATTTTTGGTTTTTAAAAAATGAATTTTTATTATATTTTATGATAATTAAATTTCAAATAATCGAAAATATATTTTAAAAGATCTAAAAGATTTTAAAAGATATTTTTAGAATTTTCATAATGATATTTTTTTTATTTCAAATAAAAAATTAAAGATATGAAAAGATATTATAATGATGTTATGTAAAATTTTATAAACTTTCTAAAGATGGTTTAACTTAAAAAAAAAAACAAAACAAAAATGAATGAGTCATGACTATTTGATTTTGGTCTATTTAAGCTCATGAATTTAGTTAAGCCAATTAAATATTCAACTTTTGCAAAAAATCTTATGAAGTCTTGAATTGTTTAGCTTTTGGCAAAAATGAGCTTCCGTTAATTTCATTAACGGCTCTGTCACGTTTTATTTTAACACCGTTATCATCTCTTATGTTTATTTTTGCTGGTAACAAAACGAAATGTTAAAAAAAAAGAGAGTACAAAACGAACGGTTTTAAGAGAGGAGACACGTTTTTTTATAATTTCAAAAAGACGAGGCAACTAATATTGTGGAGGCACGATGTAGAAGAAAGAAAAAT